CATCCTGGGGTGCCCAGGGCCTTCCTTCAGAGCAGGGTCCTGGTGCTGGAGGGGGCTGAGTGCTGGGGCAGGGACTCTGCCACCTGCCAGGGCCGGCACTCAGCCTGCCCGCGGAGCGCCCTTGAAAGCTGCGGGGAGAAGCTGTGGGTGGAAGGAGCGACCCTGGGCAGTGCAGGGCCCTTCTGCTGCCCAGAGGGTGCAGGTCTGGGCTGCTCAGGCTTCTACATCACCCGGAGGACATCTGCACAGCATCGTTTTAAAGATGGATGTCAAGGTAGGGCATTAACTGAAAGGGAAGGTGCTTGTGCGCTGAGTTTTCTCCTCTTGGGTGGCTGGGTGGGCAGTGGGAGATGGGCATTTATGTCTCTGCTCAGGAGAAGGCAGCGAGACCCCAGTCCTCGCTGGGACTTGCCTGAGCTGCTCCTTCGCCCCTGCGCACCCAGGGCAGAGCCCTGCTGCCAGGAGGGGCCTGCAGGGCAGAGCTGAGCACACAGCGGGGGGGATGGGCTCCGAGAGCATGGAGAGGGAGGAGATGTGGGGACACACGGAGAGGGAGGGGACGTGGGGACACATGAAGAGGTCGTGGCCAAGAAGAGCTGCAGGCAGCAGAGCCATGGGCAGGGAGGAAGGGAGACAGGTGTGGGGGGGTGAGGATTCAAGCGCAGCTCAGACACCAACGCTGCGTGTGCCGTCACGCACATATGGCCATGGAGGAAAAGCACCCAGCTCGCACCCTGTTCACCTGTGGGGCTCTTGGTACTGCAGTGCGTGCGGCTGGCACTGATCTCACCCTCCCTTCAGGACGTAACAAATTCAGGAGAGTTGGCTCTGTCCTTGGGAGGTCCTGCTGGGCTGCAGGCTGCCCTCCCGTAGGGCACAGCTCTCCCAGGGCATCTCTGTGTTATGCAGGAGCCCCATGGAGAAGACACCTCGGTGCTAAGGTCATTGAGATGCTGCTGGGTGGCTGCACGTGGGCAGCTGTCATGAGCCCTCTGTGTCCCTGGTTGGGAGGACAGAGCTGAGATCCTCCTCAGGTGCGATGGGATGGGGTGAGGGGGTTGGAGATCTGCACTGGGAAACTGGATTCCTCTGCTCCCAGCACTGGCCTCGTTCTTTTGGGGGGAACACCCGAGTGCGATAGTCCTCCAGCTGGAAGAGCTGCCAGCAGAGGGCAGCTGAGAGCAGGGCTGATGGACAGAGCGGCTGTCCTCACTCTGCACTAAGGGACAGTCCCTGTGCCCAAGCTCAGCACCCACAAGGTTTCCCTTGCAGCGCAGCAGAAATGCCAGGCATTGCTTCATTGCAACCACTCCTCAGCTGTGCTGGGGCAACTAGAGCAGAAGGCACAACCCAAACTGCCCACAGCTCTGCTCTGCAGTCAGGTGAATTGGGAGCCACAATGCTGAAAAGCTCTTTGATATCAGGATTGGATTTAATCTGAGATCAGCCCGTGTACCTGTTTACCTACTTGTGTAGGGCAGGACTGACCCCTGCAGAGCCCGCAGCAGAGCCTGCTGCTCCCTGGGGCACCCTCAGCCAGCACCAACCACAGCTCACCAAAGCTCTTTCCGAACAGTGAA